GACAGTGTAGAAAGATAGCTTATTTCAAAAAATCCACAAACCAGGAATAGGCCAGTTAAAGATTACATTGCATTATAACCAATTTAAAAATTCACCAAAGTTAGAATTAACAGCTGAATAGAAATCTTCCCTTTTTCTTTTGTTCCTTACATTTTACAGCAAAATATATCATTCCATGTTCTATGCTGTGTATCACAAAAGAAAATACTTTGAGATCCCAGATCACTCAAAGAACTGAAGCAATAGTATCATCTGCATTTTAAGCAAGTAAAATAATTAAAGTTCAACAAATATTTGTCTAGGTTCTTTCCATGATGTTGTAATCCCGATGCAACCAAGGTCTCAACAGCTGAAGAGATTTGGTAACAAAGGAAGAATGACACAGGCTGTTGATTGCGATAAAGACTACAGCACATCAAGGTTAAGAACATAGTGAGCGGCCTCCAAAGTTGCCTGCTCACACCGCTGAAACTGTACCAGCTGTCTGCTTGATGTGGGAGTTAAAGTACTCTGGAACTGAGTTCAAATGTGAGCTCAGTCAAGTGCAAGGTATATGGCCAGGCACAAGATAGTTAGCCTGTCAGCTTCTCAATCTGTAAAACGGGGTGAGTCTGTTGTAAAGCAGCCTGGAGAAGCATTTAGAGCCGTACTTGGCACACAGTGCCTCGTAAGTTTCTATTATATAAATATTGCAATAACTTGGCATTTGTGGTTATTTCCTCTTGCAGATGTGAGAATGCTCTCAGCTTCGGTGCAGGTCCTCTCCCAGGACAGTTAAATAAGGCAAGTATTCAGAATGATCTTTTAAAATTTGATGCTGTGGTACTGGCAAAAACACAGACCTGAGGATCAAGGGAACAGATTAGAAGATGATGAAACAACTCCAAACACATTCAGCCACCTTATCTTCGACAAAAGGGCCAAACACGTTCACTAGAAGAGAGATACCCTCTTTAATAAATGGTGCTGGAAAAGCTGGCTTTCCACATGCCAAAGACTAAACCTAGACTCATGTCTCTCACATTAAACTAAAGTAAAAATGGATCAAAGATCTAAATATTAAAACAGAAACACTAAGTGTGCTGGACGACAGAATAGGTAGAAATCTTGAAGATATAGGTATAGGCAAAGACCTCATAAGCAAAACCCTAATTGCACAGGAAATATTACAAAGAATCAACAACTGGGATCTCATCGTATTAAAAACTTTTTGCACAGCAAAGGAAATCAACAGAGTGAAAAGACAACCCACAGAGTGGGAAAAAAATTTTACCAGTTGTCCCTCAGAAAAAGGACTAATCTTCAGGACATATAAAGAACTGAAAAAAATCAGACTCCCCAAATTTAAAGATCTAATCCAAAAATGGACATCTGAGAGGAATACACACTTCTCAGATGAAGGAGTACAAACAGCAAGTAAATATATGAAAAATGTTTAACATCACTGGTCATTCAAAAGATGCAAATTAAAATATCACTCTAGAAAGAATGGCTATTATCAAGAAATCAACCAATAACAAATGCTGGACGGCTGTGGGGAAATAAAAACCTTCTCCCCTGTTGGAGGGAGTGTGGACTTGTGCAACCACTGTGGAAATCAGTGTGGCCAGTCCTAAAAAACTAGGACTAGAGGTCCCATTTGACCCAGCTATTCCCCTTCATGATACCGCCATAAAAAGACATTTAAAATGTTATATAAGAGTAACATATGCACATCCACGTTTATAATGACACAGTTTGTAATAGCTAAATCTTGGAAATGACCCAAATGCCCATTAACTGATAAGGTAAAGAAAAAAAATTTTCTAATATAATGGAGTACTACTCAGCCATAAAGAAGGGTAAGTTTGAGACATTTCTAGGTAAATGGATGCACCTTGAGACTATACTCTTAAGTGAAATAAATCAGACACACGTGTAAATATCACATTGTCTCTCTGGTGTGAGAAACGTAAAGGATAAATAAAGACGAAAATGTATAATATAAATCGTGGAACAGGAAAAAGTTGTTCAAATGGGAAAGGAAAATAGGGAAGGAAAATAGAGAAAGGAAGGTGAGAAAAGGAAAAAACCAAGGAATCAAGATATGTTATGTACAGGTACAAATTCCCTACAATGAATGTGATCATTATGTATATTTAAAATGTACCAATAAACTTAATAGTAAAAATAAAACAGTATAAAATAAGATTTGATACTGGACTAACTGACTATCAGGGACAGTGTCACTGCATTATTTCTTTACTCTCTAGATAGCAAATAAAAATGTATCTAGGTTTAAGAGTGTCTTAGAAACGCAGCACCACATGCATTTTCTAGATATCCAAAAGGCTCATAACTCAAAAGAGTGTAAGGCAATGTCCACTTAACTATTTCAGGAGACAAAAATTAAAATTGCAAAGATCTAACAATTCGCACTTACTACAAATGTAGTAAGCATTCTGGTTTACAGGGAAGAAGATCCCTTTAAAAACAAGATCTAAATGGTAAGATATGCCAGCTCCTCCCCGTGTAGGGTGGGTACTAAAAGGATAACAAAAAGCCAAGTTGCTGAGTTTCATTCATTTTTAATATTGTTTGCATTGGAACTTCCTTGAACAGAGGTTGAAAACAACCAAGCTCTAATCACCCTTTTCCAGTCCCAGACTAATGCACTGCCTCATATGAACTGTAAACATACTTTCAGCCAAAATGCCTCCAGGGTCTATTACAGGTCTGCATTTAGATGCCAGCAGAAGTACTTATGAGGGCTGAGATTTCAAGTGCTTATCTGTAGAGAAGACAAACATACCACAGGTGCCCTAGTCACAGGTACATCATCCTGGCACCACAGTGACTTTCCAAAAGGGACTGATGAATTACTCTGACTAAGGTACCAATTCTTGTTTCATAAAAGGATTGTGGTCATCATGAGGCTGGAGACCCCTTTCCCTCTGATTCTATAACTCATTCTCAAGTACATACTGATTTTCTCTGTGTATATAATGTTTTCCCCGAAAGTCTCACCAGGAACTATTTTAATGGTTTATGGGAGCATTTGGAAAACAGGCCAACAATAGAAATTTACTTGAAATTTATTATACTACCAAAAAAAAAAAAAAGGCTCTACTCAGAAATACTCTCCATGCTTTTACACTTTCTTTGAAGTTTCTCAAACGAATGATGTGAACAACAGAAAACCTCCACCATTTCTGTGGAAGGTACAAGAAAAACAAACCAAAGGGGAGAAGAAAAAAAGGAGGTACGTTTTTAGAGGACATGTAAGTTCTGTTTGAAAAGATCAAACCTTGAGCCAGGTGTGGTAGCCAAGGACTGTAATCGCAACTTTGAACTCAGCCTGGGCAATTTTGGAATTTAAGGAGACCCTGTCTCAACATTTCAAAAGAAAAGGACTGGGATGTAGCTCAGTGCAAAAGTCCTGGGATCAGTCCTCTGTATTACAAACACACACCCACAGAGAGACACACATAAAACGAAAAACACCTTAGGTCTGGGCTCCAAACTATCACTTTGAAAAACAATTAAACTGCTCTTGGAACATAAAGGAAAAAGTTTTATCAGGTGGTTCTTTGTTTGCTTGTTTTTTGTGGGAGGTGACGATTGGGCCATAGAGGAAAAGTGATATGCTCACTCTCAACGCCATGCAAGTTTTCTGAACTATTAAATCTTCCTGCTAGTACAGTATGAGTCTATATACTACCTACTCCTTTGTGAAGTGTCCCTGAGAAGGCTTGGGTTTTAAAAGCGCATGGCATCAACGCTGCAAGTGAGAAAGACCAATTACTTGTAGAACAGACACCTTTCTCCTTTAATTTCTTTCATTCCTTCTGGTAAGAGCTGTAAAAACAGGCAGGGACACAACCCTAGCACCTGAGGCCCCTGAACCTTCTCTCATCCAGCAATGCCCCGATTAACAAAACACCGCTCGGGCTTTCTTTGGAGCCCCCCAAGGTTCCTCCCAGTCTGCAACCACCGGTTCTCGCCGGATCACTGTCCACCCGAACTTGGGAGCGACAATGCCTGGCGCAGCCGGGCCCCACTGCAGCCCCCGCGGATACCTAGGCCACGCGGCCAGGAGGCGCTGCGGGCCAATCTCCGGGGCTACCGCAGCCCGCGCCCAGCCCCCACGGCTCCCGGCTGAGCCCAGCCCAGCAGCCGAGCTCCCAGCTCTGCGCCGCCCGCCGGGGTTACTCGCGGTCATTCCGCTGCACCACCTCGCCCCAGCTTTTTCTACTCGTGTCCAGTCTGAGCTGCCCCAAGAAGGGCAGCAAAGGGAAGGAAGCTGGGGCAGGAGGTGAGACGAAAAAGCACCCAGCTCCGGAAGTTTTCTGTCTTAATTTAAAAGAGTCAAAACTCATTCCCCTGCACGCCAGGGCCACGTGAGCGCACGGACCCCCGGGTGAAACAAAGCCCCGATGCCCCAGGCAAGCAGTAACATAACAGACCCCATTTGGGACACTTCCTACTGGAGTTCTTCGGGAACGAGGACGCGCCGTTCCAGTCTCAGGGCGCACGGAGCCGATCCCCATGTCAGAGCCCAACACAGACCAGTTCCTTAACGGAGCGGGGACTCGGCTGGCATTTGTCCCGGTGGGCGCCGGCTGACCCGAAGCCAGAGGGGTTTCCAGCGGGCTCGGCCGCTTCCAAACAAAGGGCAGCGCTGTGCGTGGGACCTGCCACTCTCCGCACCCCAGAAGCAGCGCCCGCAGCACCCCTGACCCCACTACGCTCGAAGTGCTGCGCCTGGGTCTCCAAGCCCAGAGATGCGCCCCAGGGCCCCGGCCGGGCGACCCCCGAGTGCAGCGGCGCCGCGTCCCGGGGTCCCGCCACGGCCCGTCCCGGGGCACCTTCTCGCCATTACGCCGCCCTCGCCCCATTTGCGTAGCAAGAGGAACAAATGTGGGGGGCCAGGGCCAAAGTCCCCCAAACCTAGAGCTTCCCAATGCCTCCCCGGCCCCGAAGCAAAACAATAACGCCCAAGTCACTGTAGAGCCTCTTACCTGTTTTCCACTTTTGTGTTTGCGTTTCTTGCCCCCACCCCTTGACAAACCCTTCCAGTGAAGGGGAGGGGGAAAAACAAAAACGGGGAGAGGACGCAAGGGGCGGCGCGCCCCGGAGAACTGGCTCTAGCTGCGCGCGTCCTGCGGCGCCCCCTGCCCTGCCCTGCCCTGCCCTGCCCTGCGTGCCCGGCTCGCGGACCAGATGTGCGGCTCGGCTCCGCAGGTCCCGACCCCTCGCACTCTCCCTCGGAATCACTGGTTTTTGCCGCGACTAGTTCCTTTTATAGATTCGGCTGCGCCGAGCGCAGGGGTTACCAGCGGTCAAAGCCTGTTCTCTCCCTCCGCCCCCGCCCCTCCGCGGCCTCTGTTTATGTAGCTCAGTCACTCAGCCGCGAGCACGTGGAGCTCGGCCCGCCCCTTAAACCGGCGACGCGGCGCGGCTGCAGGCGGGGCGGGACGAGGGGGCGCGGGGCATCGCGGGCTCCCCCGGCGCAGATCCGCGCCTCCCTCCCGGCCCTGACCTGCCGGCCTCGCCGAGCGGGAAGCGCCGGGCTTGAGCAGCGCCCAGGACTCGGGTCCGCCTTCCCGGCAGTCCAGGCGCTAGTGGAAGTAAACTCCAGCTTTCCACCCAAAACGTTTCCCCCTTTGTCAGTTTACTCAGCGTAGGGATTGGGCAGAGGAGAAAGAGCTGTGGGCTGGCGTCCCTCCCGACGTCGGTCCTTTCCTCTCCTCCCTTCGAAGATCTAGGAGGAAAGGAAGGTGGCTAGTCTCTGAGTAATGTTCCCATCACAAACCTTGACTTTTGGTTTTCCAGTAGAAGACATGGGTTTGAGATGCCTAGCCTCGGCCCCCAGCCTCTTGGGAGGACCATTGAAGAGCATTGTCTCCCGAAGAAAGGCTGAAAAAAAAAAATAAGATATCATGCACCGGACCCATTTTCATGTGTATTTTAATTATATTGGCCAAAGTCCCTGTGAAAAATGCAAAGTGCTTTTGCTTGAGCTTGTATAGATTTCCAGAGTGCAGCCAGACGATTGGCCAACATGTGAAATTATAAAACCACCCCCAGTTTTCTGACCTCTCCCTTAGCTTTGGCTTCAGCAGTGAAGTACAAGACGGCCCAAAACATTTTTTAAATTTTTTATTAGGACAGAACGACTCCTTTCATTGTGGGGAGATGGTGCACGTATATAACACATCTTAATTCTTTTTACTTCCCCTTCCCTTCCCTTCCCTCCCTCCCTTCCCGTCTTAGTCCTCTTCATTTTTACAACAGATCTATTTCTTTGTTTCCTATTAGCTGTATTTTATTCGGCTCTTTAATGAACTGATACTTTGGGTTTCTTATATAAGAGAAGCCATGCAAATTTAAGCTTGTTTGTTTGATTTATTTCACTTAACCTTACGGTCTTAAGGTGCAGCCAGGCATTTGAGAGGCAAGAATTCTAATGGAGGCCCACATAACACGTTTTCCAAATACTTAGGCTGAAAATTAAGTCAGCAAACTAAAATAAATATCTCCTAAGGTGACACCGATTTCTTCACAGCAGCCCTGAAGAGCAGGATCACTTTCTGACTTCTCACCGTTTGACCCAGCTTTAGCAAAACTGTGCTAAAGCGGGAAAGCTGCCCTTTCCTTCCCATTCAGCACCCTATCCTATTCCAGAACTCTCACTGCCTGCATGTGGACCCCCAATCCCAGCTGCACACGCCCACGCACAGTCAGTAGGCAGCTCTGGACCACAGCTCAAATTCAGGTACACACATGTTAAGATTCAGGACAGAATGAGAAGAGCCCCAAGCAGGCCTGGGAAGTGCAGTTGAGTCCTGGGGTCAAGAAATTCTGGAGTTCTTGGTCTGCAAAACTCTGAGTATCTTGGCACCTCTGTCCATGGGCTGCTTGCCCTTAGGTAAGGATGAACTTTGAGGAGGGCTGGAGCCAAGCCTTCTGAGGTCGGGGTCCGGGAGAGGAGTCCCCTTGGCCTCCTTCAAAGGACAACAGACTGGAGTTTGGCATCAAATTGAGCAAGACCGTGAGCTTCACAGTTCAGGTAAACTCTTTGCGCCTCCATTTCTTCTTTAAGGAAAGAATATACTCTCTTGGTCTCACAAGAATTTTCTGAAAGTGGAAATTCAGATTTTGTTGGAACTTTAAGATCCTTGGAAGAATGGCAGCATACACAGAAAAGGTCTTATTAACCGACTACTAATATCATTTTCCGGTCCTGCCTAGGACCTATAAAGTGTGTACCATGTCAAAAGTTTAGAACTCCACGACTACCAGCAAAGACTGACAAACAGTTACTCTGACCCCCTGTATGTAAGGGAAAACTCTGGGGTAGAAGAGCTACCATTGCTAGTATGATTTTAGAGAGTGATTATGTCTCCCTGACTGTCCACTTCCCTCCTCTTTATCCCATATATTACAGTGTTTAAAATTCCACCACGAAAATCATTCACTTTGGAATTTTGAATAAGGGTCCTAAGAGCATTTCTATTAAGATAATCCTTTAGTACTGGGGAGGCTGAGGCAGGAGGATCATTGCAATTTTCAGACCAGCCTGGGCTGCAAAGTGACCTCAAGGCCAGTTTGAACTGCATAGCAAAAAGGCAAAAAGGCAAAAAAAAAAAAAAGAAAGAAAAAAAGATAATCCTTTAGATTGTTCTAATGGAGAATGAACAACAATAAGCCCTACGCATGTGGTGAGACAATGGTGGGATCTCGGGAAAATGTGACAAGCCCAAGAAAGTGATAACCCCAAGACTGAGATATTCTCTCACATAGTTCTAATGGGGAATGGGTGGCAGTTAAGTCCTGCACACGTGGTAAGACAAAGATGGGATCCTGGAGAAAGATGGCAAACTCAAGAGAAAAGGCCCCAGAGAGAGAGCAGTCATTGATTCTAAATATGGAAGTCCCAGAGCCAAACTTAGTGGGGTCTAACTAAGACTGACTGTGGTACTGAGAATCAGCTCACCCTTAATAAATAGATGAACACACTGCAATGTTTGGAATATGTTTTTATGATCTAATCGATCTCTACTGTCAGAAGAGCCTGAACATCCAAAGAGACTCCGTGTTTCCAGCTAGGTTACTAACACAGGGACATAAGTCTGTCGGTATCCAGTAGCATACTCTGCAAGTGTGACAGCTTCACACTGCAAAACTACTGAATTTCAAAAGTTAGAACCTAAGAGAGATGCCTCTGAGAAGTTTCAAAGGGTCTAATTCTCTCTCCTCAGCACTTGCTTGTCATAGCCTGATTTGTTCTTGCATATGAGGAGCTTTTGCCCAACTCTTTTGATTCCTGAAACACCAACACAAAAACCCTGATATTATGGATACTTCTCCAAAAAAAAAAAAAAGAAAAGAAAAAGGAAGGCCGTTCTTTCTTGCTCTGGAGGAGCTGATTCCATAAATGTAGCCGGAGCAGTTTGAGGTTCTATTCTGAGATGACCCTGGCATCTTCTAATTACAGAATTGACCTTCAGGCAGCTCTGGCCTTAGAGACTTTTCTGTAATCATGAAGCTACAAAGAAGTTCATTTTTATCATTCCATTAAGGCTTGTATGTTAGGATGATCTAAAAGGCACTGTTTGGAATTGTTTTTATACACATCTGTTAACTAGTCTTCACAAATGTACATATACACATTATTAAAAATAGAAATAATAATTGCCACCACATGTATATATTTTGCTTGGTACCCACACTATTTGGTTGCTGAAAACCAAAAAAAATAGAGCACTGCAGGACATCAACGAAAAATAAAAAAGACAATACAGTAAAATGATTTTTCAATCTAAATTTGTTATGATTAAGAAGGCGTACTGGATGGACTCTTTAGGAATTCCTGGAGAATGAGAGATTGTTCCAAAACAAAAAAAATTGGTAAGCTATCTTTCAGATAAAAAGAGATTAAAGAATCAAGTTTGACTCAGGTTAATTCTAATATACAATTAGACACAGAAACAAATCCTCAAGCAGTCGGTGATCCAATAAAAAGTACAAGGAGACCCCCATTAATACGTGGAATAGGCCACATACTGCAGAGAACGTCAGTACAATTTAATTGGACCAGTGTGAGAGTCCCATGATCTCACAAACAAGACTCAAAACCATTACTACTTCTGGATGTGAAATGTCTATTCTGTTTGTCATTAAGATCAATGGGTAAGCCTAGATTGTAGACAGATATGTATATTCCCCTGAATTTCCAAATGCTTGGTGAGTTGTAATTCTTTTTAAAAGCTGCACTTCCAACCTTTCTTTCTTCAGGCTCTCAACATCCAAACTACAGGAAAGATTTAATAGCTATTCCTTGTCGTTCACCAGTTGCCCCACAGCTCGGAGTCTGTTTGGTTCAAATTCATTAATGACTTCCATAAAGAAACAAAAAGGAAAGCAATGTTTCTGTTTCAATATAAAATGTTTTTAATGTAGAAAAAGACCGAGAAAAATATGTCAGGCTCAGAAAAGCTGCTTAATTGGTGATGCTGATGACCTCTTTTAAGTCCTTAGGGTATTTGATCTCTGGTATTTGACACTATTGACAACACCTTCCTTCCTGAAGCTAGTTCTTGTTTTGAATTTCATGAACCTGATTGCTTTCTGATTTTTCTATGTCTTTAACCACTCTTTTTCTGACTCCAGTGTGTTCTTTTGTTCTTTTTCCCTTTTAATTTTTCTTTTCTTTTTTCTTTTGTGGTACTGGGGATTGAACACTGGGCCTTCTACTGAACTACATCCTCAGCCTTTTTCTTTTATTTTTAAACCTTAAAACATGGTCTTGCTACATTTCTAAATTTCATAGGTTGGGCTTGATCTTAAAATCTTCCTCAACCTCCCAGAGTGCTAGATTTCAGGTGTGTGCTACCATACCCAGCGAGGTTTATTTTAAAAATATAGATATATATGTATCACCTAATACTGGTTTTCCTCCTTGTATTTCCACATGTTCCCATAAGCAATATTATCTACCCCATTGGCTCCGTTTAAGCCCTGTACAGCCAGTCCTCATCTTGCAGAGCTCCCTGACTGCTCCTTAATGCACCGGAGTCTCCAGCAGGACCAATGGTGAGCTGAAGCCAGCTCACACCCACTCCCAAGGGCTGACATGCACCTTTCCCAGCCCCTCAGTAACTGACTTCCGTGCAGTGAACCTGACCTCACCAATGGTGTGTACACCTACAACATCAGAGATTATAAGCCCGCCCATATTTGTGTGCTTTTGTTTTTCATTCTTTCTTTCCTTCTTTGGTTTTGATTTGTTTTGACTTGATTTGATTTGGCTTAGCTTAGTTTCTTTTGATTTTTTGGAAAGCCACTTGTTAACATAATCAGTGC